CCCTCCAATTTGCCCCCCCCTCCCCCAAGGCTGTCAGCCCCTGCGTGCGCCGTGGTGGTTTTTCCAGCACTACTGCAAGAAGGGAAGAAGAGAGGGGGAAGGTGAGGGTGAGGTTGAGGATTTGTGGGGAGCCCATCACCATCAGGGCCAGGGTGAACTGCTGAGTTAATTAGAGATGTCAAAAACTGCCCGGAAACACAACAAACAACCTCCAAACCGACAACAAAACCAAATCCTCGCATGCCTAGCAGAGAGGGAGAGGGCTGGGGGGAGGGTGAGAAAGGGCCAAAGAGAGGCCTTCAAATGAGATCAAAATCTAACGAGCTAATGCTGGCGATAGGAGCTCTCCAGAAATTAAAGGTGTTGAACTGCAACAGGCCATCCTCTTCCTCAGAGATGTCCTGGCCGACCCGCTCTCGCTCGCTGCCCAGCTTGCCCAGCCCTCCTTTGGGTTTGTAGAGGGGCACGTCGCTGATCCCCAACCCCTCCAGCTCCGCCACGTCCAGCTGAGGGATGGGCATCCTCCAGTAGATGAAGGAGTCGTACTGGCTGCTGATGGTGTCCAGCATTTTTGGGGCTGTGAAAGGGAAAGGGGCGAGGGGAGAGAGGAGGAAAAGTTCTGCCAAGGGCACAGCACTCGCCTCCAAGCTGAAGCTCTTGGGCGTTGCCCCGTTGACCAAATCCACCCCCACCAGAAAAAAATGGGTGTGGTGCCATGGAGGTTTGGCTCTAGGCTGGGTCTGAACACAGGCTTGAGCCCCGTGTCTGATTTTACCCCTGCCCTTGGGCACAGCCCTTCTCTGAGAGGTTCAACAGGACTGGGTGCCCCGTGCCTCAGTTTCCCCATCCACACAGCGTGGGAATGATGGCCAGGGTGGGGACCCTTCCCAACAGCATCTCCTGATGCCCATCCTGGGCACCACCCACCTGGTGGGGGGTGGCATCAGCAGCTGTCCCCACACCCCTCTCTGCTGAGACACCAGGATCCAAACGAACCCTTTCCCCACCAAACCCTGCGAAAGGGTCTCACCCTTCCCCCACACCGAGCCCCCCGTGGGGTGGGCAGTGAGGGGGGGGGTCCCTGCACACACCCCCCACTGCCCACAGAGCCCAACCACATCCCCTCCCTCCTTGTGGCACCGCGTGGCCCCGGGGGACGGCGACAGAACCCTCTAGAAAGGGCTGGAAGGAGCGTTTCTTGGCATCGCCGTGGCACCACACCCCTCCTGCTGGTGCCAGCTGCGTGCCCGCTGTGCCCTGCTCTCCCATCCCATCCCACCGTGGCTTCAGAGCCCCTCCTGCAACCCCACCCTGAGCCACCAAAAACTGGCAGAGACCGAGGAGGGGCCTGAGCTGAGTCACTCCTGCGCCGAGTCGCCTTTCCCTGGCGGCATCATCTCCTTCACCTCCACGCTTTTGGCAACGGGGGGGGATGAGAGGGGGGAATAAAAATCAACTTTCT